AAGTCTGTGAATTTATGTGTGGTTATAAAATAGTCTGCATATTTTAATTTTAATTTTCCAGTAAACTGCAGGAGTCAGTAACAACCAACTTGTTCATACAAAACCAGCATGCAACTGCAACAGTATCTGGGGTGGGAGGGAGGAGGAGAGACCCCCGTGAAGACTAAGCAGAGTAAGTTTGTTATAATGTGATGTTAACTGTGTGTGACCCTTTTTAAGTGGGTATCTCCTTGGTCCTCATAAAGCAAGTCCAAATTATAGGTGGATGTTCTTTTTTGGAAGAAAAGTGTGATGTCATGTAGTTTGTGCACAAGCAAAATGCCAGCTGAACTGTGAGTTCTGAATACATAACACTGAGAGATATGACCCTTTAAAAACTATGAAATTTTAATAAGAACTGTCTCTGCCACACAAGCCCTGTGCAAACAAGCCCAGTTTAGCACATTTGGTAAATTTGCTTTAGGATTGATTTACAAAGAAACAGCCAAAACTGGATGTTTGCAAGGAAATCACTGGATTCTACTCAGACTATTTAAGTGGCATGCCTATGGTTTCCATTTAAAAGACAGTTTTACTGTTTAAAGGCCGTATTTTATTGCCAATTTTAACTGACACTTTTTTGCTTTCTGAGAATTCTCCTGTAATTGGCTGCTTAGATAAGTATCAGAAACATGCTATGCTCAGACAGGATGGCTGCCATAGTTCGACAAACACCTTTTCTCATGTCAGTGCTCCTTGATCCCCAACTGTTCAGTCCCCACAACTCAGCAGTCCCCACTGTCTCAGCTGTGGCATGGGACTTTGTACTAAAAAAGATTAGGGAAGTGACGCAGGTTAAAAGCACCGTCTTCTTCACATCCTTCCACCAAACCTCCCAACAGTTGTTTGGGGGCAACATGAGAGAAAGAAAAGGAAGGCAACAATGATCCTGGGGGCAAGGGTGGTTTAGGTCAGACTTCGCAGCAGAGCTATTCCAAGGAAGTGTAAACCATACTCATGTGTTTGAGGAAAAAAACCTCACCTGATCTGTCAGAATGGAGAATTGCGGTTATGGAAGTGATGTGCTGTTTCTCTAGCTGCCCTTGCTGAGATAGAGCTCCAAAATTAAAATTTATACCTGGCCCTAAAATATGTGTATTTCTCACATAAAGCTGTAATTTCAACAAGTCTAAGTAATGTAAAAGATCAAGAATTGATAATGAAGGCTACAGCCCACTGACTTAGTAAAAGACTGGTCATTTTCTAAGGCATTCTGGAAACTAAATTTAGGTTTTGGAACTTATTTACAGTAGACTATTTACTTTGTCAATAGCTAAGGCAGTGGAACAGGTTGCTCAAAGAAGTGGTAAATGCCCCATCCCTGGCAGTGTTCAAGGCCAGATTCTAAAGAGCCTTGGGCAACATGGTCTAGTGTGAGGTGTTCCTGCCCATGGCAGGGAGGATGGAACTAGATGATCTTAAGGTCCTTTCCAACCCTAAATATTCTGTGATTCTAAGACCCTAGTCCTAGTGCTCTGTATAGTCAAACTTCATTTCAAGGCACTGCCATAAGAACTTGGTTGTCAGTTATTACTCAAGTGTCTTAAAAGAGGCAATTTTGATTTAGTACTATGTAACTAAAATTAAGAAGTTGTCTTTCAAGTTGAATATGTGGGGATTTTTTTAACTTGTGAAAACAATTATGTCTTCAACTGCATGCAACTTTTCAGTTTTCACCAAAATTTTACTTTACTATCCCATTGTCTCTTTTAGTAACAAGAGGCAAAGACAGTTTACATAGGATAAGAGTCTCACCGTAATCTTCTATTTTTAGAACTGAGCTTTTTCCCTGCAACTATTGGAGACAAAACACCATGTGAAAAGTTGACTACTGTCAACATATTCCAGCTGAGAAGAGAAATAAAAGTACCAGCAACAATACAAATAAGCCTTTTTCTCATCAGATTTATAGCACTTTTTTTTTTTTCTGAAAGTGTTCAGATGAATTTCCAAACTCTTGGGTGTTCATCCAAGCTATACCCACATTTTTTAGCCTTTTGTACATCTTACTTATATTTGAGACTAAAAACTATATTCGTTGGGGCCATGGCTTAGAACAACAACCATCCCTAGTGGGTAGATTGTTTTCAGAGTTACTGAATCATGGGAGGGGGATAAATTGATGAATTGCTGTCTTAAGTGCTTTGAAGATTCTCTCTTACTTAAAGTAAGTTTCAGTCCAATTTTTCCTGATGATTTGCTGTTGCATATCACTTATATCTGACAATGATACTTTGAAGTTATTATTCTTCTGTTTATAAAACACATCTCTAAAACTAAGGTTAACAGGGAAAATCCTATAGCAAATAATTCAATAGTCCTGTCTTTATGACTTGCAATAAACCTCATTGTTTGCTTTGCAGAGGCACTTTCTCCAAGTTTCAGAATTGAATAGCCTCATCACAGGTTTTCTTCTGAAGTCACTCTACATCAATGTATTTGCAGCATTTATCCTTCAGATATGTACTTGTTCACAGGATTTTTACTGGCATTTGTAAAGAACATGGATCCAAAGACAGTGTATCGGAGTGTTTCTCTGGAGCTATTGCTCCTTGTGGGCATGCATGGTAGCTGGTACTGCTGTTGCACTTGTCTCGACACAAAGCATTTGGAAGCAGTACTAACTTAAGAGACCCTTGGTCTGTGTTGCTTATTGCAGTCACGACACCACCAGTGAACAGTTGTGCTGACACAGCTTCTTGTGGGGCCACACAGTGGATCAGACCCAGGAACTTCTCTGAGCTGAACAATCCCCTTCCTCTTCCTCCATATCAAGCATGGGGCTGATTCAGTTCCCTGGGTCTTGCTCATAGGGTGGTCTCACCAGTGGTCATGCCAAAACAGCTGAGCAGATAGCATGCTTCTGTGGTGCAGAGGGAAGGAAGAAACCATTAAGCTGGTATTGCCTAACACCGTATTCTTATTAGTCTCAAAGTACAAACAGATGTAAATATTTCATTTATTTCCTACAACTTGTTGCTATAACTGCAATTTACCTTAAAGGCTAGATTACACTAGGTTTAAGTGTAAATGGGTAAAGGAGGGGGTTTTGAGACTTAGCTGTTATAATTTATCATGTAGTCTAAATTCATTAATTTTTTCAAATTGATTAAAGTGTTGTCAGAGAAATATTTATACTTAATATACCCAGTTGGCATTAATGGCAGTCTGGCTAACTGGTGCAGATCAAAACATTCCTTCTTTTGCTAATAATTAATTGCTAAATTAGTATCATCTTTGGTCTGTTATCTGGCACAGTAAAGAGACATGTTTAAAACAGCAGCAAAGGTCCTGCAAGTGGGGTCAGGTCTGGCTCTGTTCCCTATATTAAGCGTGTTCTCTGGCATTCAGTCAAGTTGAGCCAATTCCAGTGACTTCTGTACTGTACCTGGCCCTGGCTTGGGCTGGCTTTTCCTGCAAGTCTTGCAGGTCAGAAACCTGGGATTGTGCATTTGCTGCCCTGCATGCATTCTCCGTAGACTGCTCTTTGATCCAACCTGCAGCTATCCTGTTTTGAAAGCTTTTATTTTTGATCCTCTCTACACTTTAGCACAAGGCTGCCAATTGTGACAATTCGCATTGAGGCAGCAAAGTCATCCTTACCAGTAATTTATTTCTTTTTTTTTTAATAAGTGCGTTCAGTTGGTACAAATTACTCTGTGTTTTACGGGGAAGGTGTGTAGCAGGCATGACAGCAGAGGAACAGAAAAGGGCTATATGCAAAGCTCTGGCTTTCACATGTCTCTTATGGCCTCATTAAAAAGTAGGTGCATAATGAGAGAGTTCTGGTACACACCCATAAAATGCCTCAGAGAACTGGCTCTGGGGCATAGGGAGGTGGGTTGGTGGTGAAGAAAACTAAGGTGATAAAATTAGGACCAATATACAGGTTCCATCCTGATTTTCAAAGGCAGTGAAGGAAGATCTGCTGTTTAAACTGTGTAGACTAATGGGGCTTATTTTAACTGTCACTGAAAAGGGAGTGTTCAGTACATTGCTGTGTAGGTGGCTGGCAGAGGTAACCAGTTCACTGATCCCAGCAGCAGTCAGACCAGGATGGGCATCCATAGCCTTAGATGCAAAGGTGGCAGGATGAGCTGAGCTAAGCTGAAAATAACTCCTGCTTCTGAAAGAAGGTGATTCCATTCCCACTACAAACTGCCCCAGGCAGAGAATTAACAGAGCAAAAGTGAGATGTTTCCATCTAGTTTAGTGAGTTAAGTCAGTTCTCTGAGGGTCATATGAGAGGAAACATGCAGAAAACCTCCTTTCTGTAACAGGGAAGTGTGAGACCTGGTTCAGCTATCTCACTGCACATTTCCTCCATTGGTTCTAGCTAACAATTTCAACAAATCATGCTGGCTGATTTGCGGCTTTCTTCTGAAAGATGTTACTGTTCCCTTGTCAGAAGTACCAGGTTTAGTGAAGTTTCATCTGTTTAATTTACTAGCTGCTGTATTATTGGAACCTGGAGCTAATTATAGTACAAGTCACTAGACTGTGAGCTATGGGGGCTCATATAAAGATGGTTAACCACTGACTGTTGGACAGCTGATGGTCCCAGGGGTTCTTTAGGACCTTATATCAAATGTGCATGAAACTGAGCTTGCTGAGATCCCTCCCTGGTGCCACTCATGCTATCATATAATGAGCCAGTTCAGACAACTGAGACAGAAGGTTGCTTTCTTTGGAGAGCTAGTTCTTAACTGGCTCAATTCCCTGAGCTTGCTTACTGCACAGTGCTCACACCAGCACAAATCACGGAGTACCTAAGGGTAGGGTGGAGGGCCAGACTATGGCAATTGTAAATTAGGTTGGCTTAAGGTGTTACAGAAATACACCCTAAACTGAAGCAGACAAAATACAAAAACTTGCTTTTAAGAATATTTTTTTTTCTTGAGTGATTGAACCACTACTGAGAAACTCAGAGATATAAGAAATTCTACACAATTCAATTTGAGTCATATTTGGGACAGTTATGTTATAAATATTGAAGATTTCCCAAAAAGGAGTTATTCCCATCCTTCTGTTTAAATACCTGTCATTCTGGTGATGTTATGGGTTAATTAGTTCATTTTCTGAAGTGTATTTCTGGGATATTTTCCCATTAACTACTTTGACCCATAACCTCATGTTCTGAGAGTTACTTAACCTTTGGTCTTGTAGTGGCAACCATTCTGTTCCTTTTAGGATATTTCTTATTTGTGATTCTCTTAGTAGCTATATGTGGTTTATATTGCTATTTCCTAACATGAAGCCTCACACAGTGAATTGATGTTACATTTAATTAACAGAAGAGGTTTAGATATTTCACAAAGTTATTGACAGCAGGAACACTACATTAATACCAAATGTTTGACATCATTTACTGGAATAAGAGATTGTAATCCCTGATTAAAATAATATTAAAAATGGACCAATATTCCAACTAAAGGACTGCTACAGGAAAGAGTTAACAATGCTTGAAAATACTTTATGAAGTTCTATGCTTTAACAAGTCTGTATTTCTTTCAAGTTTTACTCCAACATTTCTTGGCTTACAATTGTTTCTACTTTAATTTTAAAGCTTAATTTTAAACTCTTGCAATCAATTTTATAACAGCCTCAGCATAACTTGTTAGGGCATTCCCAATGAGGAAAAGTCCACGAAATCCAGTAAGACTGTTTTATATACTGCAAAGGTATATAAATACCAATGTTAAAATCGTTTTTAGTTTGATTTTTTTGTCTGATTCACTGGTACATACCAATTGTTTTGTACCAAGCACAGTCAGGGCCTGGTAGCCAGTTGAACTGGGTTTACAACTTTGGAAGCTGTTAGACTAATAACTTTCATGTACTGTCTTGACTGGAAAAGATTCTCTTCCAGTTTATGGTCATAATGTAGCAGACACACCCATCCCTTTGTGATAATAAATATGAAGCAGTATTCTGTGATATGGATCTTTAATATATGGACTGGTTTTGGAAGGTGCTACTGTAAAGATTTTAAAAGCATAAGCCACACTTTGCCTTAATATCGGTAAAACTTTGGGAAAACAGTTTCCCATTTGGTGCCTCTGGTGCTTTAGCAGGCTTTTCCTGTTAATGTTTTTTGAACAACTGTGTAAACCCAGAGGATTAATCTGCCTGCAGGAGAGCACCAAGAAGGGCAACTGTTGTTCTCTTCAGCATTTTTCTGCTGAGCAAAAGCATGTCAAAGCCATCACGACAGCTTAATGCTACTACATGCTAAAAAAGTCATGCGTTAGTTATAGCGATTGTGGGTACATAAAGTCTTGCTGAGAACTTCCTGCTGAATCCCTGCCCAGCAGAAATCACTTCATGGCTGATTGATTGTTACTTCTTTTTTAATTGAGCAAAACTGAAGAAGATGTATGTATGTTTTAATTCAGATGGAAAACTAAATAGCAGATTCCAGAGACCTCGCCTTTTCTTGTCTGTGAGTACATTTAGTTCAGCAAAGGGGCTTATTACATTAATGAAGAAATTTTCATGAAAGTAAGAACACCTCTCTGCATTTTATAATTTTATGCTTGTTTATATATATTAAAATATTTCAGAAAAAAAAATAGTTCCATCATTTTGTTTAGAAACCTGTCATTTTGGTGATTTCATGGGTTAATTAATTCCTTTTTTCCCTACTGTATTAGATATTTTCACTTTAACTATGTCTACCTGAAACGTCCTGCTTTAAGAGGAACTTAACCAAATGCATATTACTACCATATGCACTATTGCTAAAACACGTGTTATTCCTCAGGATGCTCTCCTTGTTTAAAATCTTTCTCTTTACATGTTTCAGAAAACATTTGGGACTGTTCAGTTGCAGACTGAACAAGACTTGGAGAAAAGGCATGCACAGTTTTATTTAAACAGCAAGTAGGCTGGTATCATCCTGATTCTATTATTACCAGCTACTGTGCCACGAGCATCTACTTACAGTGACAGTGTTGCAGACATACTACTGAAACCTTTTGAAAACATGTCTTTTCTTTCTGGATCTCAGTCCGCTACCCTCAATTCCTGCTGTCTCAGTGGCTGATCAGGTAAGAGGCTGTATATAAGGCACCTATTTCCTTTAGTTTATTTGCTGTGGTTCTGTGGAGGGCACTGTCAGTGCTGATTACATGCAAGTGTATTTACTCATCTTTTTACATTACTCTCCTCTTAAACATTTTCCTCTTTTAGATGTTTACATTAAACCCCCTATATCTACAATCACCCTATTTTATTTGTTTATGATCATAGAACTGTATTTTATAATATGATAAAATTTAGATGTCATAGCAGTAGTAGATATTTTACCTGGAAAAATTACCCATCTTTTGCAGAATGTTTTGTTTAGCTTTTAGTCTATAAAAATAGAAAGAATAAAGGGAGACAGAATAGGCAAAACAATAGTCTTCAAGCTTTTTTCCCCTTGTAATTACATGAATTCCCAATTGGAGGATCTTTCTTGCTCTTCCTTGATTTTTTTTTTCTTCTCAAATGGTCATGAAACTGTCTCTTTTTATGCATTTTCCCCCATTGTATTATTTTTATAAAAATCTTATCTTTAAAACCTCATTATGTCCCCATGAAAGAGTATTTTACTCTGTGTCATGCAATAGTTCTGATTTCAGAACCCCTTATCTTCAGGGGTTTTGCATTCTTTTCCATCCAGATATTTGTCTCATAGCAGTCATTGCTAAAACTCTGGTTTGTTTTAGTCTTACATCTGTGGAAAAGGCCTTGAAGATGGTTTTCAGAAGTCTGTGGCATCTTTTAATTTTCAGGATATCAGTTGAAGCCATACCAAACCAGTTCTGACATGAATCTATTTCCAACAAATAGTTTAGCAGTGTTTGATATAGTCTGCAGATGGCAATACACCACAGACACCTCCACCTCTGCATCTCTGGTATCATTATTGTAAATGTCAGTCTTCCTACTATGGACCAAAGATCGCTGGAGTGTACTCACTGGAGTTCACAATGTAGGGCACCATTTCGTTTATAATTTGCTGCCTAAACCAGGTTTTGTGCTAATTACTTCTCTTTGGAGTTGCCGACTCAGCATCATTCACAAACCTTGTCTCCTTCTTGGCTTTTTTTTTTAAGGAACTTAATTTTTCAAGGAGAAAACATTGTTTTGCTCTGGTTCTATAACTTCATGGATATTACATATATAGTATGTAGAGATTTTCGAATATGCTTTTAATCTTCCATTCTACGTTCTCCCTAAATAGCTTTGAACTTTGATAGAGTGCCTTTCATCTAGGGATATTAAACTACTTGTTACAAATCACTTACCTTTATCATGGAGATGACCAGTTTCTATTACCTTGTATTCTTTTCCTCCCAGTTGTTACTACCATTCTGGATGCAACTGCTATGCCATTTTTGCCTAACAAGGCCAGAAACTAGATGTAATTGACAGGATTAAAAAGTAGCCTTCTTGCTGAGCAATTTTCCAATTATACATTTTGCAACTGTAGGCTGGTTTTTGATCAATCAACAGATTGTGTGCCTTTATATCAGCAAATGCTTTATAAAAAAGACCAAACTGAGTAAGAATAAAATTAATAATTTTTTTTTTTTGCCAGTAACCAGTGCAGTCTCAAACACTTTAAATGTAAAGTGGAGAACAGTTTAAGTAATAAAGGCACACAACATATTGTACATTTAACCATATCTTCAGTCTGTCAATCTCAAGCAATTTTAATGCCTCAAAAGGACATTATGCAGTGAAGTACATGAGAAAAAGAATTTTAACCCTCAAAAGACTGTGTCATGCTTTAGAATGGATGTATTCTTTATTTTAACATGAATCACTGTCAATATCATGGCTTATATAATTGTTTCAGACAAATTTCATTTTAGAATAGGAAGATAATCTATTTAAATAAAGTTTGGTATGGTCCTCATAGAATTATTTACTGATCATATAAAGTCATGATGTTGAATTTAACAAGTTTAGTCTTTTCTTACTGTTTTTTCTTTAACCTGAAAATATTTGTTCTGTAGCTTATCATTAATTACCACCTTGTGGCTTATTGGTATTACTTCTTTTTAACGTATGGGAGCAGCAAGCCTTGGTCTCTAAAGGACGAAGCAGCAGGTCAAGCATTTCATTTTGCATTTGCAGGCAGATAATTTGTTCATATTAACAGATCTGTGGCCTTTTTTATAATGAAAACAAAAGGACTGACTGTATGATATGAATCCTTGGGATAAAATGGATTTTTAACGTGTTCAAAATAGAAGTCTTACGTGAGCATTCACTGAAACTCTGCTGTTTTGTTCAATATAAATTAACAGCTTAACCATTGTTTATACATCTCTGGTGAACTGATGTGCAGGATCTGCAAATACAGCAAAAATAAATTAATTTTAAATGGGTGAGATATTACTGAGTGATATTCTTCCACAACTTGCTGTGATCACTTCATTAATGGAATATCTCATTATCCAGCTTGGAAGATTACTTAATTATTCCTTTCTGTGTTCTGTCTTTTCTACTTTCCATACATTTTTAATGTATAGCAGTACCTTTATCCCAATCCAGTCTGACACATAAGGAGGCAGAGGTTGCAGCTAAGCCCATTCCTGTGAAGGGGTTAGAGCAGAAAGATACAGACCCATACTAGCAGCATAATATCAGATGACACACTGTACAAGGATCGATTCTGTGACTGAATTAAACCTCCCAGCCTTTGCTCTGCCAAAGAAGAATCAACGCCCTTACACACAATCTGGACAGCAAGCCAGGTGGAAACTCAATCAACTAAACAACTGAGAGGCAGGAGCTGCTAATGAAAACTACTGCCCCTATTCCAATGAAAGGGAAAAATAAATGCAAACCACCTGGCTGGTCTGTTTGACTTTATACTGGAATGGATCACAGCAAAAAAGGCAGAAAAGCACCTGCCACAGCGGGGATATGGCAATCCTGCTCAGCCCCTCTTGCCTCTCAGCTGAAACTTCTTGTACCCAAATTAAGAATTTGGATCAGAAAGCTCATCAGGCAAGTGGTGCAAGCATACACAATCTAATGACTACAAAACAGATCCAGTTCCATGAAGGAAAGCTAGACACTGAACATCCAAACTACCAGTGAGCCTTTAAAGTTTTCCATGGCATTAAAAGCTATTGTTTTATGTTAGCTTAGTCTGATCTGAGTCAAGGATGAGAGTGACTTGATCAAGGCTGTCAGACCTCACTGAACAGGCTTTGTATAGAAACCTGGAAATATGCCTATCAAGAAAAGATTAGTAATAAATTTATTTTGTTGCTTATTATGAATTATGGTGAAAAGCTGTAATGAGGGAAAATGTTCTTTTGCTACCTCTGAAGACAACTAATGTCCTGATAAAGAAGCCTTAATTTACTGATAAGCAACGGCTATGTATCATTCATTAAATTACAATTTAAAAGGAGGAATGACTTAAGCACATGAGATTGTGGTTATCTCTAAGGTAATCAAAGAACATCAAATATATCTGGAATACAGAAAAACTGGTGCACCTTAAACTGCAAAGACATTACACTTGAATGGAACAAAACCATATCACAGCAGTATCACAGTATGTATAGATCCTACACTACAACAGCTAAAGGCTCAGAGTTCCATTTTGCTCTAACAAACAGATGTGTGATGCTTCTCCTTTTCCAGTACAAAGAGAAATATTAGTCTATATCATCTAGCCAGGCTGCCTGACTCTTCAAACACAGTGTGTAAGAAGGATTCCAGACTTGAGGGTCCTTACTTGGAGGCATTTCCAATCTAAGTGAAAAGAGGAACAATAGAAGTTTTATTACCCTCATCTGAAAGGGAAACAAAAGCAGTGTTTTCAGAGTCTACATAAATAGCAAGTTATTTGTGCTGCTTTGAGAAAGTCTGAAAATTGGACTACAAGAAATTAAAAGCTTGGAATAGAATCTGTATTTTCTGTATCCCAGTCCTGCACCAGAGGACTGTCTGCTGGCTAATGATCAATCAAAAAAAGAAGTTAAAATCTGGAAAAGTGAGTAAAATGCCACCTTAGTCTTTGTACCAAGCCTAAGAGCTTTTATGAAACCTCATTTGAGTTTCCACAAATATTTATCTTATGCAAACATCACTGTGCATTAGAGGAGTTTGTTCTCATTCTGGTAGCAATCTCAATTGTCATTTGATTTCACTCGCAAACCACTTTAGGCTTTGTAATAAGACTCTAAGGTATCTGTAAAAGCAATCATTTCAGAAGCAAATACTCATGCCTGGTAAGTCCTTATTTATTGATATGAGTAATAATGTAGCTGATTACTTTACTTTGCTTTTACTTGATGATCTGACAGCAAAGTACTATGAATGTAAGTTTTTGAAGACAGCCATGCAGATAAATGCTAGATTTCTAGACCCTCTAGTCTTTTTAACATGTGTGATAGGGGGATTCCAACCTGCTCTGTGAAACTATAGGAACATGAAGCAGCAGCAAACTTTATGAAGTAATGTCTGCTTTACATGGCAAAATTAAACAAACAATAAAGCAAAGCAAGGATTGTTTGATGTACAAATATATTGAAGAAAAAGAAATTAAAGTCTACAAATATGGCTGCAGTTAAGTTTAGGAGAGCGATGAAACTTCTTGGGAAAACTGTAAAATGGTTAAATGAAACTGTCAATGTGACCTCATTAAGTTTTTATGTAGGTATGGTTTTGTCAACACATACCTTGTAGGCAATCTTTTTCTCTTTTAGACTTTGTAATCTTGCTATTACAAATGCCTCATTGATCAAACACTGAGCACAAGATGTAGATAGGAGTGCTGTAATTAACAGTCATGGCTCAGGAAGTCTGAAAAGGATGACTGCAGATTTTCACTGGAAACATAAAATTCATCCATTTTCTGTCACATGATTCCCTTTTACTCTATCTTCTGTTACCATGTATTCTAATGCCTGAATTAGGATAACTCCTAATTTTCCTACAGACCTTTCCAATGCTATGCAATCTACTTCTGTTTTTGTTTTCCTTTTAATTCCCCAATGGCAGAAGTTTCATATTTCACCCAGGCACTGGTAATTAGCCAAAGAAATTATTTTAAATGCCAGATGTCACATATTAAATATAAATAACCTATGACCCTGTGTGCAAAAAGGAAGCCCCTTTCCTACAGGATTGCTCAATTTAACTTTTTTGAATGTAGGCTCTATATGGAGGTAGTGTCTTTCTCCCATGTAATACCATCCAGCAGGCATAAAAAAATGGATGTGCCTTGTTAGCTGTAAGAGACATAAAGGAGTGATATTTTGTTTGTATGCCATTTGCAAATGAGTTTGTGTGTAAGTATTCACAATGATCAAAAAATTTCCCTTGTTGTACTTGTACTTTCTTCAATAGCAGCTGTAAAAGCCATGACCATAGACACAAGCCAAGGAACAGTAGTATCTGCTGATTCCGGGAGTCTTTCTCTGTGCTTTCTCATCTGCCCTTTCTATGCCACACTGGTGCGTGTGGCTTCTAAACTGGTCCAGATTCAATCACAAATCGGAATGAGATCAAGCACATGAAACACAACCTTATGCGTTATATTCTTAATTTGAGGCTGTTTGGCTTATTGAATCATGTGGAACGAATGCCTGACCATGCTTCTTCCAAAGCCTACTCTGGCTACAATTGCACAGCTGGGTTTGATTTGCTGCCTATAGGAAGGGGGGAGGAATCCCTATTACTCCAAGACAAATACAGATCTGGGATGTGGCTGCAGATCCAGAATTCCTAGCTATCCAGCATAGGATGATGTGTGGAAAATAAAACACTGCACAATAGAACCCTCAGGTTTTTGGAGCAGAAAGTAACAACACGCCTAGAAAATAGCCCCAGTTTGGAAAGGATTCAAATACCACAGGAAGCACATTCCTTCCTTCTTGAGGCACATGCAGTAACTCCAGCTTCTGACCAGATCAAGGTGTATCCCCATCTGGATGCAATAACGCAGCCTAAAAGCAGCTAGGACACAAACCACCTATGCATATTAAATAAATGAATCAATAAAAGCACCCCTGCTTACAAAACCACAAGTGAAATAAAGTTGCCCTCATTACTGCCACTGTTTCACCTCTCAGTAGCAAGCAAAAGCCAAATCAGCCATCCATGGTACAGGCCTCGAGTACAGAGCTTGACATAAGTCCCTGGAAATGGATGTAAACTCACATCAGTCATTTCAGGGCTTCTGCCAACTCACTCTCAGTCATGCCGCAATTGCTCTTTAGCTGTATAGAAAGGGTTTGAAGGTTGTTTTTTTTTTTTTATAAATTCAAATAGGAAGTGTGCATGTTTTGGTGCAGTGGGACAGAGACAGCAAAATGAAAAATAGGGTGAAGATGACAAAAAGAAAGGATATTGCTGGCAAGAAATGGAAGTTCTGAACACAGACATATAAATGATTTCAATGTAAAAAGCTGAATGAAGATGACTGAACTACTTAATTGCTCACAATGCCACCCTAACTTCCACATATTCTTTAAATTCTTGTTAGATAGATGGTCATGACAATCATTTACTCTATTTTAGGATGATAGTCCTTTTTAATTAACAACAGTGGGCAGAACAAAAACACTGCCTCATAACCTGCATGTATCAGAGTTTCTGAATGAATGAATACCATCTCAAACAGGGGAGAGAACATTTGTTTTACAGTTAAGGGAAAGGCACAAGACAATAATATACATATTTTTCATGTAGCTTACTGTTTAGAAATATACTCGGAGCATCTTACCAAAGAACATTTATGTTCACATTTGCCCTTATGGAGAGAACAAGTTTGGTTCTATTTTTCTCAGGCATAACGACCAACCTACTGGTATAGCAGAACAGGAAACTGCTACAGTAACTCAACCTGATGTAATCTGACACAACAATTATTTAACAATAGACAAATTCTAACATATCTGCTTTGAAAATATGAAAGATTAACCAAAAGTTTTTAGACAAAAGTAAGCAGCATTTTATATAAAGTGTATTTGACTGAATTGTTCATTGTAGACCTATTTTCATTTAAGAATGTACAAGGGTTTTTCTTAACCACAGTTAATCCAATTACACATTCTTTTCCAGCTTTTCTTGCTATATGACCTTGGATTTAGAGGTAAAAAGAGGCTTCAGGCCAACAGGCTTCCTTCAGGAGAGTGAGCTGGCTACTGTAACAAGACCATCAACCTTTACATATTGTAGGAACAGCACCTCTAGTTGCTCATGTGTTTTAGGTAAAGAAATAGCTAGTGATATGAGGGAAGTGACAGTTGAAAGGATGCCGTGTTAGAAGATAAACAAATGGCTGCTTTGTATTCTGGGCACTAGAAGCAGCTTCTCATTTTCACTTGAGCAAGCTCCTCCTGTCCCAAGTTCTACACAGTGTTTTTTAATATCATGCTTTTCATTTCCACCAGAATTGCAGGGTCACAAAGTAGCTTTTCATTTAGGCTTCTTCAGCATAGATTACCTATCTTCCTCAAGGAGTGCAAGTTAGAATCAACTGAGCTCTTGTAAAAGCCTGCACTGTAGCCAATTTCTCTTCTTGTGAGCCGCCTTTTCTCACTTTTGTTCAGTCTGTATAAAGAGCATCTGGATACAAATCCATGCATGGGATTATGATATGCCTGGACAAAAACAAATGCAAAAAGCCCCTGTGCACAGAAACAATTTGCATTAGTTATTTATGACTCAAACAATATTAACAGGTAAATCTACAATTTCCACACGCCCATACTCCAGTTAATTATTTAACCAAGTAATTAAATCTTGTCCTTTGATGTTTAAAGGATACAGCAATGAATCTTTGGTTAGTACAACTTTCATTCTGTAACATAAATGAAACTGTGAACACTAAATATCTATAAGCAAATGCGACTCACTGCGAGTAGCTTAATTCCTATCAATCCCACCTTTCAGCAGAAACCTAGGATCAACCTAAACTATATAACTGAGGATTAATCTTTTACTTAATTCAGAGCACTCACTGATGGTTTCACTAAGTTGTTCTGGGATTTCTTAGACTGCAAATTCCAGGCACATCAGGCCAGTCATGATTTCTGCACCATCATCTGCTCTGGGAACAGGCGCTCCTGCTAGAAAAACAACTTAAAGTCCACTTTTTTGTCCCTCTCCACTCTTCCCCCTTTTGGTTTTCAACCTTAATGCAAAGCAAGAGTGAGCGATGGCATGTTACTGCACAGGCAGCGTATTCTGAGACACGTGTGCCCTTCCTAATGCCCCCGTGGCTCCCTTTACTGGTGCCACAAGTTGCTAAGGAGTATTCTAATCCGTCTCCTCGCAGTTGCCGCATCGCTGCTGTTTCCAAGGAGCCTGGAAAGTAAGTTTAGGGTCCTTCTGCCAGCATCTGTTCTCCAAGCCGCATTCCTCAGCTCCAGCCAACCTACCTAATTACCCGAGTCGCTAATTGGCGCCAAGCGCACCGCTTATTCACACGCGATGCTTCGGCAGAGCAACAGGAAACGCGCGTTCCTCCGCCCTCAGGAGGCACCCTGCGCCTTGCGGCCGCGATCACACTCGGGCTCCCGCAGCAGCGCAGCCGCACAGCTCAGCGGCGGCACGATGACACGTGGCACCCGCGCGCCGCTGCCCCGCCCTTTTGCGTCAGCTGGCTCCCTCGGATTGGGAGCCTGCTCCAGCCCGGCCAACCAGCTACCGCCAACCGCGGCCACCCGCGACACCCCGCAACCAACCCGCTACGGGCCCCGCGGCCCGCCCCTGGCGGGGCTCTCCGCTCCACATGACCCGCCGCGAGGCGTGCCCCCAGCCCCTCCTCGGCGGCGGCGCGGGTCACGTGGCTCCGCCGCTGTCGCCGACGTCACCGCGTGAGGGCGGCGGAGGGAGAGACCGACGGTGGGCAAGGCGGGCTGGGGGCGGGGCACGGCGGCGCGGAGGGAGGGGCCGGCGGGGGCGGGGCCGGCGGGGGCGGGGCCAGCGGCGGCCTGTAGCAGGCGCCGTCGCCGCTGAGTGACAGACGACGCCCGGGTACGGGAGTTTGCGGTGGCGCTGGAGCCGCAGCTCGCGCCCCTGCTACCGTCTCTCTCTGTGTCCCCCCTCAGGCCGCGGCGCCATCCCGTGTTATGAGGCGGTCCTGAGGGCGGCGGCGGCGGCGGCCAGTGCAGCCCGGCGCGGCCCGGCAGGGTGACGGCGTCTCGGTTCGCCTCGCCGGCCAAACCCATGACTACGGCAAACTGCGGCGCCGCCGATGAGTTCGACTTCAGGCTGATCTTCGGGGAGGACGGGCAGCCGGGCCCCGGACCGCCGCTGGGGCCTGCAGGTGCGCTCCTCATCTGCAGCTTGGTCGCCGCAGCTGCCCTCCCGCTGGGCCGGGGAGCGGGGTCCGCTTTCGGTTTGCTGTTTTCCTCAGGGCGAGAGCGGGGAGGGTTGGGGCGGACGGCGCCGTCATTCCTTACTTAGGCTGCGACCGCCTCACGGCTCCTCGAGCCGCCCGCCGCCGCTACAAGTTTATGTGGGAAAAGAGACCCTAGAGCGGGAGTCTCGTCGGAGGAGCCGCTCCAGGCGCGGTGCCTTGGCGGGAGGGCGTGTTGGATCGGGTGGGCCTGGCCCCCTCCCCGCAAACCGGCGTCTTCTCGTCCCGCGCAGGTAGCGGCGGGGACCCGCCCGCGATCTCCCTGGGTGCCGGTTCCGGCGGCCCCGCAGGGTTTGGGGAGCGTGCCGTTAAACTTGGCACAGGGCATGGAGCGACAAGACTAATGGGGCTGCACTAGAAACTTGTCGGGGCTCTGAGATGGAAAGTTTCGACCGAGGTGTTCCCCGTACGAAAAGCATCGTAGTTACTCCAGTGTGTGCTTACAAACTTTGTCTACGTACGTGTGTATACGTGTGGATGGGCAAAAACACGGCGCGTGGAATGTGATGGCTATTGGCGTCCCTATGGACAGGTACATACACGTATTTCAGAGGGTTTTCGTTTTATTCTGTTTTGTAATGTTGAAGCCTGAAACTCCCTTTTAAAACAACTCGTATTTCTCTAAACCGCAGAAAATGAAGTATTGCTTGCAAATCATGATGTAGAGAATAAGCCAGCTGTGCCGTCTATAGCTAGACCAGACCTCTATGGCTGCATGCTGGTTTTTCTGACCTACTTGAAATAAGTATTAATCGGTAATGCACTATCTTAAGTCTAACTGGGTAGATGATAAGGTAGCTCTGAAACATGACTGTACAGGCTAAGTGTTGCAGCCATGTTGTTTTGTTCACTGACTTGGTTGTCTGCAGAAGTTGGTTGGAAAACAGATCAGTTTGACACAGTCTGTGTGTAATCCAACGTGGACAATCAGGATGGATTTCTTACAAAATCTCTAACTGACTTGATGCTGTGATTTACAGATTCTGTCAGATAAGGAGAGATTTCTTTTGCCTGTTTTCCAGTTTAGTAGATAGTGTTGTTGGAAAGAGGGGTTGAGTTCTGCTGGCTAAATAAATGCATTACAGGACTGCAGGAAAACAATGATGAATGTTAACAAATTACAACAAAAGTAATTCTGACACCCCTGTTCTTTTCATATAACATTAGTGGTCTGAGCTGTGCTTCTCTCTCAATGATAGATGAGAGCGAGGAAGAAGTTGCTGAGGAAATGAAATACTAGTAATACTCAATTCACTTCTTTAATACTTGTATTTTGGTACCCTTCCTTAACAAGCAGTTCAGATACTACACTGAATGTAGGGAATTTTCCATGCTTGATAAAATCAAACGATTTTTAAGGCAAATTTGAAGCTGTGATATTCAGGTCTGTTTGCTGGAGCTTTCAGTAATAAATCCATCATCTGTGTCTCTAACTCAGTAATTCCACTGGTTTGCAGAATACTGGAGATGGTTTCGCCTGCTGTGCACAGATGTGGCCTTCAGAGGCAAGGATTAGAATAGATCTCTGCCTTCAAGTATCCTACTAAACGGATTGCCAGAGTTTAGCTGTTGGTTCTGCCCATGTATTTTACATACAAAGAGCTAGACTGCATACAAGAAAGGAGTTCTCCCTCTTCTAAGTATATTAGTTAGATGAACAAAAGTTCCTGCATGTCCCTAAAGCATATATTGAATAATTGCTTATCACTGATGATGTTTATTGTGCAGCAAAGTAAGCATAAGTGCATTTTTTTTAATGTATGATAATAATAAAACATGCAGATCATAGAGGAAGTTTCTGAATTTGAAATAAATAAATACGAAAATTACTGAGTCTTCCATGATCATGGAGAACACTTGACACTTTCTCATGTTTTGTGCTGTATCTCTAGAAGTTTGGAATTGGCATCCTTGTTGAAGAAGTGTCTAGTACAAAGTTCTTGTGTAAATAACACGGAAATCTACATTAATGCTTTCATTTATGCTTAGATTACTGCAGTGTTCTGAGAATTTTATTCTTTTTTTATATGAGAATATATAATATATATTTTATCTTTAACTGTTTTTTAATCAGAAGCAAGAAAAAGTGAGCTATTCTTCCGTTTCCTTTACTATACTTTTGATTTCTGAACTACTAAGAAAATGCTAGTGTAGGCAATAGATTACACTTCTTATGACATTAAAAGAACAGTAAGAGAAATTAAATTAACTGGAATTCTGAGTTATTATGCAGGGCAATTTCAGACAATTGTAGGGTAGCAGAACTAACATACTTAGTTTTGTGCTGAATGGCAGAAATGGAGACTAATGTTCTGCAGTAATGCTTGTGTGCTTGGTCTGAACGTTGTAGCTTGTGCTGCAGAGAGGAATGCATGAAAGGTGGTTTAAGGATGTTGAAAGTCTGTACTTTAATACTGCAATCTTTGCACGATCCTTTTCTGACAAAATAATTGAGGCCCCCAGTGCCCAAAAGTAGAATTTATTTGAGATGCCACCAAGTTTGGCCTTTTTAATGAAGAGATTTTGAGGATGTAATATGTGACATTGGAATGATTTAACTGGAATGATGCTCCCATCCCCTTTACACTCAGTTTTGCAATACTGTACAGTATTTTGGGAATTTTGCCTAGGATTTAAGCATTAAGCAAACTGCATTAAGGTCTTCACACATACTGTTAAAACCTGTTGAAGATGCAGTACACTGTTTAATAGCAAACTGTGCAAAAGAGGAGCAAATACAAGTTGCTGCGATTGTTTCTTTAGCTGAATTTTTATTTTAAGGGTTCATCTTCTAATTCAGCAAAGGGGTTTTTACAGGATAAGGGCCTTTAAAGAACTTGGAGTATGTAGTACTAAGCTGGGAATTCAGGATCTTGTAAGGTTCTGTAACATCCAAAATACAATTTTTGTTGGTGTGTAAAATGAGGACTGACTTAAAATGAGAGGCTGCAAAGTGTTCAATATTCAGAAAAATAATTATTTAATTACTTGCGAAATCCTGACTGCATTATTGATACCGCTGTTTAGAGTTCTGTCTAAAATGTACCTTATTATTTCTGATGAAGTCTTCTAAGAGCAAAGACAGGAAAACAAGAGTACTGTGTGAAATTTCACCCTTTTGTTCTTGTGGAGTAAAGGAGGAGAAATTAATATTATCTTTGAGGAGAAATTAATATTATCTTTTAATATAAGTAATTATCCATGGTTTATTTTGTTTATTTGTTTTTCTATTACATGAGTGCTTTAAAAATACTGATAAAAGTACCCTCCTTGGACTTCTGGTTCATCATGTCTGGTTTATTTTCTTGGAAACTGGAAGAAGCTGAAAAAGGGGTTCTGTGTATTTCCTGTGACTTAATATATGGTTAAGTAATACTATGTAGTAATCTTGTTACAGATGAGCCTTACAATCTCTCTTATTTTTCTCCTGAACAGTATGGTATGAAAAGTATTAAGAATATCCTCATTCTGTAATGAATTTAGTGACAGTTCAAAACATCTTTGTGAGCTGGAGCCTCGCTCTGGTTAACAACGGTATTCCTGGCTTCCTGGCTTTGGATCTTTAGTTTATTTGAAAACTACTCGTGTTCCTCTCCTTTTTTTTTTTTTTTTTTTTTTTCTTTCCCTTCTGGCTTAGAGCTGTTAGCTTATTGGTTTGAGGCTGTTACTGAATATCAGGATGGAAATACACATTTTGCTGACTGTCAAAATAATATCTGATCTTTTCTTTTGAAGGTTTCTGTGCCAGACCTTCTCTATGAACATGTGAACTGTTGGGCTGCTCAGCAGTTGCCTGCTGCCTATGTGTTAAGCACTCTGAAGTGATAATGGGCGCTGACTTATTTTTTATTTTTATTAGTAGCTAGGGAGAGATCTCTGTAGCAAAACCTAGCACTATAATAGAAATCTTTTAATTCAGATATGTATTAAAAGTCTTAAAATCAATGATTTGTACAGAAATACCACCATGAAACTAGTCTTTACAGATTTGCCTTGATCGTTAATATGTGAAGTATTCTTCACTTTTTCAATGTGTGTTCATGACAGGTATTGCTGGTGGGGATTGCTGGTAGGGAACAGAAAACAGCCTCAGCTGTTTACAAAAGTTTGCAGTATGCTTGTACTTTTTGTTATTATCCCTAAGATGATGATTAAGGTAAGCAATACTAAGAAAGCCGAGTTGTGGTAGGAAAGAGAGGAGGCTCATAATTGGACTGAGTGGAAAATCAAGGGCTGGATGCTGGCAGTAATTGTGGACTTGAGGTGTGAGCTGAATGAGGGTTGCTCATTCATTTTTGTGATCACATACTTCTGATCCAGAACTGCTACAAAGTTTGCTTTCCTTAACTGAGCAAAAAAAACCTCGTGAGATATGTTCTTCCGAACTCTTTTTAATGGATGACTTTGCACACTTACGTGGTTCACCTGGAGTATTAATCCTTTTTTTGAAGGCTTTTTATTCTGTTTTGATTTAGTTGCCTATATAAATGGGTAAGAGACAGTCTTACCACAAAATGGTAACTGTGTGGTTAGTATGTATAATTTGAGCTATCCAGACAAATACAGCAGTCTGTGCTGGTCTGTAAACCTTTGCTATACAAAGAGTGCTCACAAGGATCAACTGGTGCAACTATGAGAAAGGAATAAACAGACAAGTTGCTGGAGTTTGTTTCTTTTCTTTCTCCCTTAGACATAAATGATACTTTTTAACAGAAATGTTTGTTTATTATTTAGATATTGATAGGAACCACCATGTGAGGGAAATATAGTTGCTATCATTTTATTTTGCAAGCCAGCGGATGCTGGTGTCTGTGCATGTAAAAGATTGACACAATGTAAATCAGCACTGGAGTGTGGTTATATAATCTGTTGATGGAGGGGAGGAGGCAAAACCAAACAGCTGCATT